ATCTTAATTCACTGTAGTAGGCTTGGGAATCATCTATCCCTACTACAGCAGATTTAAGAGTTTTATTTATATATCAGTTAGGCAGAGAAATAGGAATATTGCTTAAACAAGTTAAAAAAAAAAAAAAAAGAGAGAAAGGAAAAATGTAAGGTGGGTCACAATAGTGTCTCCAGAATGGCAAGAAAAAAAAATGAGCAGGATCACTTCAAGCAGGTGTAGGAGAACGAAAAGAAAGCCATCAGAACTTTACAAAAGGGACCCAACATGGGATTGGGCTGCTACATCTCTCCTGTACATCTACATGGACATTCTGCTTTTCTGCAAAAATCTTGAGTCCAAAATACTTTGGGTTCTGGTAAGTTTTTTGTTTCTACTTTTCTCTATAAAGGAAACAGTCCCCACAACAGTTTGGTGCAATTTTGTATGGCATTGAAACGTTACATACCATAGCATATCAGCTTGTGTATAAGAGGAAAAAGCAGGTCATAAGTTTTCTGCATGCAAGAGCAATCACAGTTGCCCAGTATCTGGAAACACTGGAATGTCTGAGGACACCAGAATTAATATTTACCAAGGTATTTATATTTTTCCTTGGAGACTTTTTCTTTCATCTTTCCTTTTTCTTCCCTGGCTGCTCCAAGTACAAAGCGTCTTCAGAGCCCCAGTGTGTATTTCAGCAAGTTCTCTGTGCTGAACAGGTATTTCACCAGTTGAAGGCTCTTAATACAACACTGTCAGTGGTAAACTGAACAGGAACTGTAAAACAAATACTCTAAATAGCTGTAATACCATTTTGAAAAAAACCTGATAGAGCAAATGATAAACTTGTGGGGGCAAATTAAAAAAAAAAAAAAAATGCAACTTCTGGGAAAAAAAAAAATGAGAGTACCTTTCAAATGAATGATTCAAATGGAAATGCTGATATCCTGAATCACAAATGAGCTTTCAAGGGGAAAAAAAATCCAGTGAAAAGTTTCCAGGATAAGAAGATTTTTCTGCATTTGTTTAATGGTATAAAAATGTTGTTTTGCCTTTTTTTAATAACTGAAAAATTCATCTCTCTGCTCAATGAAAACAAAAAACAAACCAACCCACAAAAAGCTAAAAGGTAGTATTTAGAATAGCTGACTTGTGTGTAGTCTCCTGCGTAACTTCAGATACGCATTTCTCATTTTTGCCAGTCTTTAGGTCTGGATGTCTGTAATTCTAGAAACGTGTTTAGCTGTGCCATGTTAAATCTATCAGTGCTGAGTGCTCCTTCCTCCTTCCAAAGATCTGAAAAAGTAGCATCTATCAGTATAGTGGATAAGGACACGAGAAAGCTTCCAATGTGTCCTTTCTAAATATTGGGAAGATTTGTTCTGCAAGAACTTCCTAGGGCCTGGCAGGTCACAGACAGGATGCAGTAGGTCCAAATTATCAAGGGGCCACAGACGCTGCAAAGGTTGCTGCTGTACATGCTCTCCAGCTGCCTGCTGAGTCCAAGAGGTGGTCCTAGAAATCGTAGTCATTGCTTCTGCCAGCTTCTTGAATCCCTTAAACTATGACACAAAGGCTCCAATACCGCATATTCCCAGAACCACTTAAGTACCACAATAGTTCAGAAATAGTCTTGTATCAAAATGTGTTGCTTACCAGTAGAATTTAGGAACTGGAGGGAGGTACCAAGTAAGTCCACATTGACTGCAGCCATGAATACCATTCTCTGTACATTGAGATAAACTATGCTTTAAAAAAGTGCCTCTTTTCTTGACACAGGAGAGTGTAGACTATCCTGCATCAAAACTACATTAGAGGATGGCATAAGTTAAGGACATAAGTAATGAGGGTTGTTGTAAGGTTAAAAAAACAGAAGCCTTTTGAAAACTCATTACTACTCATTCTACCCCTCCACACCTTTACTCTAACAAAATAAAAGAATTCAACCGCTCTATAAAAGCAGCTGTCATCATTGAAGTAGTTATTGCCTTTTCATTCCCTTTTCCTATTACCGTTATCCCTTGCTATTGCTGTTTTCCCCTTCCTTTATGGCTCCTCACAAGTCTTTAACAAACCAGTCCTTAACAAACCGAACCGAAATGTCTCTAGCCATTTCTCACAACATAACAGAGGAGTCACAGTCACACTGCCTTTTTTTTTTTTTTAATTATGATTAAAAAACCCCAACTCAAAACCCAACAGAGTAAGATTTAGACATGGTTTAGACAGTAGTAAGCTTCAGGATGAAGTGTTCTGCTACCACTATGAAAGGTATACAGGGAATGGCAAAAGCATTGCCATCTGGCTTGATGTCTGGAGCAAGATTCAATAAGAGATGTTGCAGATACCCAGCAGCACCATGGGCATATGGGACAACTTTCAAGTTCCATTAAGTTTTCATATGCAGTACAAAAACACTTTCTGATCTCACTATCACTACCTTTAAATTCAAATGATTCTTCTTATCTTCTTTCCAAGGCATCATAGTCAGCACTAGGTCTTTCCATGCTTGCTTGAGAATTTTGGCAAATAGCAGTTCACAGGTCTGGAGGACATAAATACATTTTAATGACATAATCTACTCAGAAAGGGAAGGAGAATGTGTAATATTGTAATTATACTTAAAGTGATGCTTTCATGATGCACAATAAATTGAATCATTAATAAATTATTTTATATGTCATACCAAAAAGCATTGTTTTCTTATTTGAATTTAGGATATAAGGAAGAAAATCTTGGTTACAAACAAGTTTTCAGTTTTGAGTTTTCAAACCAGAGCACATTTCCCTAATTCTCAGAGTCTCTTTCAGGCATGACAGAGATGGCGTATTAGGCTGCTACAGCATAAGGGATTGAGGGTGCTATTTGTCTCAGCAGTCTACATTTGCAGTACAGATGTCTCAATCACATTTGCCCATGAGAAACTTGAGAACAGAAATCCCATCGTTATATTTATATTTTTGTCTATAAAACATCAGTTACTAGATGACAATTCACACCCCACACAATCCAGTTTAGCCACAAGCCATAGTCAACTAACAAGCACCACAGAGCTGCCATCTCTACACGTTAGCTCAGGACAGACTGAACGTGTTGAACATGGGGGAGCTGGGAGAGAAAACCTCCAGCCTTACCCATGCTTCCTGCTCTTGCAGTAGTTTCTCAGGAAAAGAAAAAACAAACAAACAAAACAAAACAGGAATGAAAAGCTGTTGATGAGGAAGATGAAAACAACCATGACTGAATTCCTCTCAACACCTTCCATCAAGCTGTGTCAGATACAAAGAGCCAGATCTGTAGCAATACACAGGAACTCTGCTGAAAGTGAAAGAAAACAGAAAAGAGGAAAAACAGAAGATAAGCAAAGCCCAGTTAGTCAGGCACTGGAAAGGAGGAATGGGCACTGTGTCGTCTTCCTTTTCTTACAAAGAAGACGACACATATTGTTTTGGTACTCTTTACCTGGAAAAATCAACATATCGAAGCATTAACATTCAAAAAATAGAGAGCTCATTAGTAGCAAATTCATAACAATAAAAAATTTAAACCACCACTAAAATTTGCTGATTCTAGCCAGAAAATTAAGACATTTCCAAGCACTTCCCAGAACTATGATCAAATGGTAGTGTTGCCAACTAATGAAGTTCTTTTTCCCATACCTAAGTTATCAGTTCTGTACTCTGACCATCACAAGTTTGCTAGGGAAGTTAATGAACAAATCAAAACCTTTAGTTATTTCAGCAACTACCAACAAAGCCATGCTTCATGTCTGGTGAGTAACTTCCTACCACCAAGGAGCTCCCACCTGTGACCATAAAAACACAGAAAAGTCAAAATTCTTTAATCAATATTTAATTAAATTTAGTGAAGCACAGAATGGAATGTGTTATATGATTGAGAGCTCTTGACAGTAGTGAATTGTTCATTATAACTTCACTAGGTGTTTCAGTGATATGGTTTGCTTCTGAAATCCAAGGGCTCCTGGTTCACAAAATTTACATACAGATGCTTGTTGACAGGTTTTAAAGTGAATTCATTCCTACTTCAGAAATATTTTATACTGGAAAATAGTGTCTAATCAGAGAGAGCACAACTTATTAGTGACAAAGTGTTTTAGATATCATACGTGTCAGTGTTGCACTTGTTTTTCAGCTATATCCAAAATTACATTCAACATAAGAGTTGTCTTCAATTGAACTTAGAAAGCAGTCTTCTGCATCAAGTTGAAAAAAAAAAACCCAAAACATCTGCTACTAAAAACTTCAGAACTTCTGCAAGCTCCACACTATCCTACTGCGTATATGAGAAGCATGGAAATAAGAATTGCAAGTTAAAAGGTTTATATCTGCATGTGGAGTCTACAGACCCTTGAGGGAAACACAGCTTAGTAAAACCTCACTACTCAGAAAGCATCCACTTATATTTGTTTTCAAACAAAAAGACTGAAGATGTGTGTGTGTCCACCTATAGAAAAAGTCTAGACAGAACAAGGAGGAAGCTCAAGCTACTATTATAATAAGGAGGATTAAACCGCTGCAGAAGTTTCAAACATACACTGCTCAACAGTGCTTATTTACAAGGTTGTTCTTCCAAAGTCACTGACCATTAAAATTATATTTATTTCACAAACCAATCTGTTTTTACAGGTCTGTAATTCAATAAACACTGGTATTCTTGCCAACACACTGCACATAGGAACACACTATCTTTTCTATCAAGACTAGCTTTATATTGGATTTTCCTGTTCAACTGTAACAAGGAGTATTGCTCACTTTATGACTTTGCCAGCTTCAGCAAATGAACTATGATGCACCTGATTAAAACATAGCTTTAATTCTGTTTTTAATTTAAAAGATAGCTAATGTGACTAAAAATTTCCTAAAAAAGAAACATGGTGATGCAGAGCTGTCACCTAGAAAAATCTTAAAATTATTTTTTGAGGACTCAGCAAACAAATAATAGGACAATTAGAATCTTTCATGCTGTAAAATTTAGCTAAGAATTATTAGATATTCTTCAGCATCTATTATTTCCCATGTTTTTGCAGGTTATGAAAAGAAGCCATGGGATTATAAACCAGCTAATTTAACATGTTTTACAGAGACTTTGTTATCAAGAATATTAGTAACTAGAAGATCTCCAGATCATGAGCATTATCGATTTCAATAATATCTTCAGGGTCCATCTTTGCTTCATGATGCCCCTCCTGTAGATCATCCAAGGAAGCCAGAGCTTCATTTGTATCACTAGCAAAAGTCTCACGAGATGCATCATCATACTCTTGCAGGTTAAGCCCTCTTATGGCTTTTTTCATCTTCTTTCCTAGAACTTGTATTCTCCTCTTCTTAGCAGCTTTTTTGTTTTCATACTCCTTTTGGTTCTCCAGGTAGAATATTTCCTTGAAAGAGAACAAAACAGATTTGGGCATATTCTGTCTATTAGTGTCTCCTAAAGAAAATGTAAAATAGGAAAAAAAAAAAATACTGAGAGAAGGGGGTTTGTTCAGCACAGAGAAAACAAGGCTCAGGGGAGACATCATCATGATGTTCCGGTATTTAAAGGGTGGCTACAAAGAAGATGGAGATTCCCTTTTTACAAGGAAAAGGGCACATATTACTCCCAGGCAGTAACTTGGAGATTCCAACTGGACACAAGAGGGAAATTCTTCACCATGAGAACTATCAGCCACTTGAGTCACCTCCCCAGAGAAGTGGGTGATTCTCTAATTTGGACACTTAAGATTCAGCTGGACAAGGTGCTGGGACATCTTGTCTAGATGGTGCTTTTGCCAAGAAAGGTTGCACCATATATTCCTTGAAGTCCCTTCCAACCTGGTGTTCTATGATAAATCATTTTATTACATATATTCTCAGCAATCTCATAGTATATGTAAATAAGCATCACCAAGTTTTCACTTCAAGTGTGCTGGTGATACGGAACTGGGAGGAATGGGTGGTAGACCAGAGGATCATGCTGCCATATGGAGGGACCTGTAGAGGAAATACGACCAAATGTTTGATGACAACTTGAAATAATTTTCCTCCACAACTGAAATTTGAGTTCGTATGTCATTATCTTTACTGTCAAACAGTTGTGAACCCCATTAACATCTTCTCTACTGCAAAATGACTGTTATAAGTTTCCTCTATATTTGAAGGAATGTAGCAGAGCTAAACACTGCTCCACACCCCTCTTTCTCTGGTTATTATTTTCCCTCTCCCCAAAAGCTGCAAGCCAAGTGTTAAGGATGTGCAAATCTGTGACACTGGTAAACATGACAACCTCTACGATGACAGGATTATGCATGCTTTTCCCACAGGTCTGTAGGACAAACGAAGTCTCATACCATCAGTGAAGTTCGTTTAGTGAAAACTGCTGCGTCATTAAACACTTGCATGTATCAGCAAATGAAGAATGAGACACACAAGTACAAGGGCATGGAAGAGGTGTAAGAGAGGTGAATGTTTTTTTAAAATAAAAAGACAATCACATTATTTATATCAACAGTTTATGTTGATTCGTTTCTCAATTCCCCGTACAAGAGGCTAGGATAGCTTGCAGACTGACCTGTAGTAGTGACCTGTAGCAAAGTAAGTATTTCTTTCATCAAAAACTTCAATGAAATTGCAAATATCATGCAAAAAAAACCCAACCCAACCAAACCTCCAAGAAATAAATAAAAAAAAAAAAATAAAAAAAAATCCAACCAAGCTGTTTTAAGTTAATGAAGAAAATACCATCTCAGTCTGCTTCATACCTTAAAAGGAAAGGCAATAATATTTACAAGCTGACAAAGCTACTTTGGTGAGAACATAGATGAGGCCAGTGAGCAATTTAGACAAAGTTCAGACCAGTATTTGACTTAATGGGAAATACTGCCTGGCACTCTGTAGGAGCTATATAGGAAAAAAATGTTCTATTAAGAGAACACTGTTCAATTCACGCACAATGGCACAGAGCTCCAAAGAGAGAAATACAACTGCAGATATCATTGCTGTAAAATATATATAAACTAAAGAAAAACCCAGTGTTCATCTCTTCAGATTCTACACTCTCACCACCCTCAACAGGTGTTTGTGACTGATAACATGTAAAAGGTGTTCCCCCCCACCTAGTGTGAATGGTAATTCATCTTCCCAGGCCACCCCCCCATAAATTTTGAATATGAAAAGCTGGTTTCTTTGCAATATAGAGTTAATTGTGGTAGAAGGTGAGAGATTAAATCAAAACATTGCCAGTAGGAAAAAAAAAAAAAACAAACACCAAAACAACCTCTGCACAATCATTTGCACTCTTGTTGACAATTTTACCTTGATTTGTTCTTCTTTGATACTAGGTGTGTTCTTCAGCAGGTTTAAATAAACGCCCCCTGGTGTTCTTCTCCGAGTGCCATTCTTAACAGAGAAAGAGCAAATTAGTAATAGCAAGCTTACAACTTAAGTGTCAATATAAACAAAGCATCTAAGACGATTATTTGTATTGAGACATAACAATTAAAAAAAAGTTCTGCTGGGTTAGTTTTTACATAAAACCAACCCTGGCTATGTTTTATTTCTGACTGAATGAGTAATAAAAAGGTCAACAACCAGTGTGGTACATTTGGACAGGTAAATTATGAGGTTGCAAAAAGTTTGCTCTAGAACATAATACCAAACTGTTCAGCTACATACCAAAACTGATTTTGGCAGTGAAGAAACAAAATGTGAACAGTATTCCAACTACTATCACAACGATATACAATAATGTAGATGGTAGGTTAAATATTCACAACATTCCTGGGACATAAGACCAGTAAAACATCAAAAATTAATAAAAATTACATAGATCACTTTTTTTTAATTGAACTCTGCAATTCTACAACTTATCTGTGTATCTACAGGATTTTGCATTTCTGCTTAGGGAAGAAGCACAACACATTAGTTCCATGCTTCAACAGGTTTTAGTGTAACAGCAGTGGTGCAATATGCATATACCATGAAGCATAAATGGACTGAAGCTTTGAAACCTTTGTAAATTATAAGCACTAATTATCATACTACTACCTAACTACCTTTTGGAGTATATGAAGTTGCTCTGATATTGTACTAAACACGATTCTTTCTCCTAAATAACAAAGTAAAACAAAATCCAAAAGTTCTAAGAACAGAGAAGGTAATTCTTAAAGTATGTCCTTGAAACAGGATGATAATAGTATGCAGCATCTGCTATCAGCACAAATTCCCAACCAAGAAAAACAGTATGATCTGCCTTTCAAATAGCATACTCTGATCCACCGTCAAAGGAACCTATGCCACCAGGAGTGGCATCCTTTCATCTCCTTGGTAAGCGCTTGTCAGTAAGTACTTTAATCTTTCAAGACAATAGACTACTTCTAAAATAATCTGGTAGCTCTAATGTTGTTGTGTTCTGGGGGTGGTTTTTGTGCAGTGGTTTTTTTTTTTTTTGTTTGTTTGGGTTTTTTTCCTGTTTTTAATTTATTTTTTATCCTCCCCCTTCTTCCTCTCTACTTCTAGTGCTGGAACTTAAAAGATAAATTATAAACAAATACCTGAAAGTTCTTACTAGTTCCCTCATTTTTTTCCTTATGAACTTTTGCACTGAGGCTCATTAGTTAAAAATAAGAAACCCCCAGTATATTGAGAAATTCCAAGTAGAGAATTTTTACCATGATTTTTAACAGAACTCAGTACCCAGTTTTGCTCTACTGATGCACAAGCCAAAGGTTCTCTAATAAAGCTAACAATTCCCTTTTGAAAGTTACTCTTCAAACATGACATTAGAAATGCTCACTGCTGAGTTCGGTGACCTCTGATGGCATGCTGATTAACCCAGTAGATAGGCTGGTGATGCCAAACATCCACCTGACTTCCTGAAGAAATGTGGCAGGAGCTTCACATGGATCCTAACATTATAGGTTTTTATTCAAGCTTCAGAATCCGTCCCACTTAGTTCTCTGCTGACAGATCCCAAGGGGAAGCAGAGTAACAGATACAATGTTGTAACTGCAAATCAGATACTAATCTCAGTACAAAAAAGTCAGGCAATTCCCAGGTTCATTCATCCTACTGTTTACTCAAATCCTGCTGGATGGTTACCTTAGTATTTGTTACATGAGCTCCATGGCGAGGGAAGGCCATGAAACTGCGTGAGAACCTTGCCAACGTGAAAGCTGTGCAACAGTACTACATAAATATTCTGCAAGTTGTGTTGTGCGTGTCCCCCCCACCAGCAAACCCACAACACCACGTTTTTCTTACCACTATGAACAGTCCACCATTTTGTTCCACTTCAGCTGTTTCCATAAGCAGTTCAATAGCTTTCCTCTTCCCAATTATTTTCACCACCCGGGCAATTAAATCTTTCTTTGGCTCACAAAGGCTGGGAAGAGGGGGAATAAAAAAAATAAAAAAAAGATACATTTATTGTCAGTATAATTTCTTGAGTAAAATGGACCACTGAAGTTCCATAATGAGTAATTCATTATGTGAAACATAAACCTGTGCTAAAATTAAAGGTCTGTACATTTAAATGTGTTTCAATGGCTTTTTGAATCAGATTTCAAAGTACTGAGTTTCTGAGGGATATTTTTTCCTAAAGCATGCATTTCTTTTTTTTTTTTTCACCCCAGTGAAAATGCCCTGGAGTTACTGTTTTTCTCCCACAGATGTGTGAAAGATTAAACCAAGTAAGAAACTGCAAAGACCTATATAAATCTCTGAAATTAAAGTATTAAATTCTGTTGTGCATATAACAGTTAAAATTACAGTGAGCTTACAGTTACATAACAATTATTCGGACACAACAGAAAGTGTAAAAGCTCCCCTGTATCACATGCCATTCAGACGAACCTACATAATAAAAACCAAAATCAGACTGTTGATTAATCCAAGAGAACATATAAAATACAAACAAGAAAAAAACTGCAGTATTACCAAGTTAAATTGTATTCTTCTGTTAGTAAAGATGTCCTCACACAGAAAATTCTGTTGTCAGTCTGCATGAAGCAAGAGGCTTATGTAGCAGCAATTCTCTGTGCCAAGGTACTTACACTCCCATTGGAAAACATTGTAAGCCCACAAATCAATACCACTTGCCCAGAGCAAGAGTTCATATGCTAAATTCTCATTTTTTTAAATGACAAAGCTTCTCACTAAGCACTTCAGTCCCAAGCACCACAGCTCAGTGGTTTTACACTTTGGGGACCAGTAGACCATTATCGTTACCAAAATTTCTTGAAGACCAGTGTCTAGCCTTCAAGTGACATTACAATGCTATAAAGTTGCATGTGCTACAGTAACTGCATACAGAAGGTGTCTGAACACAGGTGTGAGGAACTACTTAGATCAGCCAGGCTACCTTCAACTGCTTCAACTGTGTAAGTTACCTGAAATTAAATGTTAAACCTCACATTTTAGTGACAATCATCCCAGTCATGAAAAGGATTGCCCAACCTTTTTATATGACCAAGTTCTAAATTGTGACTTACTGGAAGAGATGCAAATGTTTCTCAAAGATGCAGAGAACTTTAAGATAACCAGGACTCCTTAGGAAGCTGGTTAAACAGACCTTGTGTTAGCAGCAGCAGTTTAAATGATCAAATCCCCACCTAGACAGCGTTTATTCTGGCCCTGCACAATCCTCCTGTATGTGTGCTTTAACAAGCAGCTCTGCACTCCAACAAGAACTGAACGAGGTAAAGGGCAAAAAATGGCATAACATGGCCAGAAAAACTCTTTGATTTTAGTTCACTGTCTGGGCCAGCACAACAAGTTATGAATGCAGGCACAGATGGCACAGCACAGATGAAAGAACAGTGCTGTTACATGTACAACCACAATCCTACTGATGCAGTTCAGCACCACTACTATTACAAAATAGGAAAAGAGAGGCTTCTGCCCTACTCTGATGAAGCTCAATAGAGCAAAGAAAAGCTTATTACAAGAAACATGCTCAAAGTTCTCAAAATCATAAATGAGAAGATACTGAGAGCTGACAACAGCATTAACAATTGTCTAATGCTGTATTTCAGCATCTGGGGGGGGAGGGAATAAAGCAACAGGCTTTTGGACAGGTAAGTTAAATTGTAACTCAGCTCATGTACAATGACTAAATAGGATTGTGAAAAGAATTGGATGGTGGAAGCGTGCATACGGCTAGAACTCCGTAACCCCAACAATGGCTTCCATAAATGAGCACAGAACCACAGCTCAGTTTCACAACACAGAAAGAAACAAGTTGATTTCAGTGCTACTGTCTAACCTCAGCACAGCCCTTCATTACAACAGCAGCAAAACGTTTTCTTCAGACAAGCATGCTCCATATAAAGAATTTATGTATTTCAGAAATAGTATTCTCCAAAACACTACACAGTGAGTAATCTACAGTTTCAAAGGTTTTGTAACTTAGCCAGATTTTCATGGTGACCACAGAAGGCGTTTACTGGTGTCCAACTCCCAACACACATTTTCGCTCATGAAGTTATTTCCTAAAAAAGCCACTACTAAATCTGTACTGTGAGAAACAATATTTTTCCTTGCCATTGTTCTCAAATAACAAAGCATTCTGGTAGCTCTTAAAGAGAAAAAAAAAAAAATTAGACAGTATTACTGGATGCTTCTACAAGAATCTAGCCGTAATGCTGCATTTTAATCCCAGGATTTTGGAAACATACACAAGGCACTCATGCTGTTTGTAATGTTAATGCCATCTTACATATTTAAAAGTTATTTTCCCCCCTCTTCTTTTACACCAACAGTTTACCAATACTTATAGAAGCGAAGATATGCTGTTACTAAACTCACCGATAAGCAATTTCATCTGCCACTTTTTCCTCTGAATCTTCTTCTGTTATCTCATACCTTCCTTTGTATTTCATTTCTTGTCTTTCACCTAGTCTATCTTTCATAGGCCGCTTCCGTCTAACAAAGCTTTGCCCATTTTCTTCTTCTGCCGGCAATGTTTTCTTGTCATCATGCATGTATTCATCCAGTTCTTTATCTAAAGTCTCTGCCTCCTTTTGCTGAGCTTCCTTCATCAGCTTTTTAGCCAGTAAGTAATTGTAAGTCTCAGACTGCCTGCTTCTGTCAATACTACCATCCATGCCTAGAATCCCAAGTTCATTAGCCACTGCATCCTGATTCTGCTCCTGGAGCACCATACCCCAAATGTTGTTGACCTTCTTGCCACCTAGAGCAGTTTGTTTTTGGTGGCTCTGGCTAAACTGAAAAGGCTCAGATTTAGCAGGAGGGAAGTTGAAACATTTCTGTCGTTTTCGTTTCCACAGACAGCTGTCATCATCAGATTCAGAAAAGCTTTCATCACTTGAATCTACACTTTTGGTTGTCCGGTAAGGAACACTTGGTGCACATGATGAAATGCTGCTCTGGAATGGTCTGCCCAAATCCTTGCCATCAAATGAATTCTGGAATTAAAAAGTAAATGTCCATTAATTTATTACTCTTGTAATTAACTTGTAAACTTTATTGTCACTCGTGACTGTTTGGGCAGTCCTCTAGGAGGATCTTTTGGACTAGAGTTAACAGGATATCCTATGAAACTGCTGTATTTTGAATGCTAGTACATGAAAGACAGCATAGCTGCTATATAAAACAGGTATCCGGAGTCACTGATCTACTTAACATCATCTTCTTTGAATGAAATTAAAATTATTATGAGACTGGAAAAACTATCAGAATTCCCAAATTGGACAAAGACACAACATGCACAGCACTTTAAAAAATTTAAAAAGGCAAACACCACAGCAATTTACCTTTTATTTTTTGCTTCAGTGTAGACATTATTGTCTCCATAGTCTGAAAAGGGTCAAAACTAGTGATCTGCTGTGAGAGACTCATCTGAAATCAGACTACCCTGTCATTGTCTCAAAGACTGGCATGAGAAGCTGAGATGGAATTCCACCTATCTTTTGTCTCAGCGATGGGTGGGAAGAGCTGAGATAAGACTCAACTGTCCATTGCCTGCGGGAAGGGTGTGAGGAGCTGAACAGGGACTCCACTGTCCATTGCCTGAGGGATGAGTGGGAAAGAGCTGAGATAAGACTCTTCCGACCATTACCTCTATCATTACCTTGAGGATTGGTGTGAGGAATTGCTGACCATTATCCCAAGAATTGGTGCAGACACATGCAGTTGAAGAGCTCACTGCAAGACCAGGGAAACTGGTCCACCAGGAATATGCAATACATAACATGAAGAACAGAGGTACTCCCCCTCAACTCATTATAAAAGGTGGAAAAAGTAATCACGAAAGAGGGCCATTGCCATGAGGATGACTCTAGGAGGACACCTTCATGAGGACACTTCACCGACGACTACAATGGACCCTGAGGGACACCCTCCATGAAACACTGCCATAAGGGTAACTCCATGAGGACACCTCCAGGGGTACCTTCCAGGAGACAACTCCATGAGGACACTCACCTCCGACAACTACTACAGACTCTTGTGGGACACTGCTCCAATACCGACTATGAACCCTGAAGGAATCCCACCAACAATGATGGATCCCTGGGACATCATTGGATCCATGGTGGTGACTCTCTCTCTCTGCACCCTGAATTCTTGCTTCATTTCCATCCTTGTTCCTATCTGTCCTATCGCTATCCCCTTTATTAATAATTGTCTTTTTGTAATAAACCAACTGATCAGTTATGGTACTTGACCTTGTTTGAATCTTAATTTCGCTCTTGGGATCATGAACTGAAACAGGGTTCGGCACTGGGGTTTTCTCCAGTCAGGCCCTGACATCTGCAACCAAAACAGTCTTCCCAGAGACTCAAGCAAGAAGAAAAAATGACCAAAAAAACCAAAACCAAACCCATAAAACTTGGATGTTGCTCAGACTTTGAGAGGCTTACAGTGCATTGCGATTCTGGTTCAATTAGGACAGCACATCATCAGCTGAGGACAGTAGTACCTTACAGACAAATTGGGGTTTGCTTCCTTTAAGCCAACAAAGCACAGACTCACTGGCTTCTTAATTAATTAGGACAAAACCCATGAAGATTCAACATACTTCACAAAAAAAAAAAGTCCCATTGCTATAAAAATACTCACAAAATGCTCTTTCCCCATACACCTGACAAATAAGCTAAAATATTAAAGCCAAGCCTGCTCAAATTTGCATAACCTGCAAAAGCACCACAAGTAACATAACCCAAAATTCTTATTGCCAATTGCTGGAAACTTTTGGCCATGCTGTCTGTGCTAATCTGCGGTAAGAATTTTCATTACTCACAATTCCAGTGCTTCCCTAACTGGTTTCCTATCCTAAAGTTACATGCTATCCCATGATGTCCTGGGTTCAGCTCTAACAGCTATTTTTCTCCTCATCAGTAGCTGGTGCAGTGCTGCATTTTCAGCTTACAGAATGCTGATAACACCGATGGTTTTAGTTGTTGCTAAGTGATGTCTACTCCAACCAAGGACTTTCTCAGTCTCATGCTCTGCCAGGGAGGAGGGGAAGCCAGGAGGAAGCAGAGACAGGACACCTGACCCAAACTGGCCAAAGGGGTATTCCATACCACAGCACGTCATGCCCAGTATAGAAACTGGGGGGAGTCACCTGGAAGGCCCAGATCGTTGCTCGGTTCGGTCTGGGTATTGGACAGTGTGTGGTGGGCAATTGTACTGTGCATCAGTTGTGTTTATTGTTTTCCTTTTCCCCTTAAACCATGACACAGATTTTTAGAAATAGGCTCTCTTCCTTTAGTTTAAGGTGAGATTAAAAAAACCCCAAATAAACACCTTTATTTAACCTTACTGCTTTCACCAACATTATAGCACCATTTCTTCATCCTCCTAACAGCAAACAGAAAACAGAGGTCTTCAACTAATTTTATCATGTTATGAAATACAAACCTTTAATTTAAAAAGTATTCTATATGAAGACAAGCTGAGAAAGTTGGGGCTGTTCAGCCTGGAGGAGAGAAGCTGTGTGGAGACCTCATAGCAGCCTTCCAGCAGGCCCCCCCCCCCCCCAAAAAAAAAAACAAGAGGCCACCAGAGGAG